TTCTGATGTCAATTCTTGGAGACTACCTGCTGAGAAATGATTTCATGTCACGCACTAATGTTCGAAAGATGGCTGCTGCTGCATGTATGTATGCATAATTCCTGTTGATTCAGTGAGTGGGGAACCTTAACACTATATAAAAATAACCACAGAAATTATATAGGTTCTTTGTAATTATTAGAGCACTGACATCCAGAAAGAAATAATAAATGTTCACAGGCTTTGGTATTATCAATTTAAATCTTCAGGTTCTGCTGCCAGAAAATTAATTTCCTTCGGTAAATCTGTTTTTTGTGTTCATGCCCCAAAGTGACTCTGTAAAGTGACTGGTCCCAGTGTTAGAATCTCATCATGCCCAATATTGTACTCATTCCCAAGTATCTGCAAAGTCTGATGCATATTTATTTCCTTATTTCATTATTTGATATTCTTTCAGGTTGCATCGGCCAGGGATTTTTCATGCTTGGACTTGCCTTCTCAGGTTGTAATGCCACAGCAGCCATTGTATACTCAACAGTAGCAACTGGAATGAGTGGCGCTGTGTCTACAGGCCCCCTTGCAAGCTTCATTGATATCAGCCCAAACTTTGCAAGTGAGTTCCTCAGTCTGCCAAAAGCAACAGAACAGTCGTTATATTGTTCAGAAAAGCATACACAATGTTTTGGAACAAATAAATAATAAATTTTAACAATGCTTCTTCCATAGCCCAGCTTTGTATTCTTTACATAGTTGACGTCTACTTTCAAATTTATTTTCTTTAAGTACTTTGTGCAGGAGCTGGGATAGCTCAGTCAGTATAGTGACTGGCTACGGGCTGGATGACTGGGGTTCGATCCCCGACAGGGGCAGAGGATTTTTCCTCTAGCCTCTGCGTCCAGACCAGCTCTGGGGCCCAGCCAGCCTCCTGTCCAATGGGTACCCATCTGGTGCCGAGGTCAAGAAAGAGTAGGAGCTATACCTCCAATCCCTCGAAATGACCTACATGGAGTGTAGCGGGGCAGAAAAAAAACTTACTTTGTGCTGATTGTCCTATCCTAAGCTGCCACAACTGTACTTTCTGTTAATCACTTAATCTGTCTGAACTTCAGCCAATGATATGACCTTTCCTTATCCACAACTTTTTATATAAGCTATATGAAAATTGTTCATGTATCCTTTTTCTTTTCATTTTCCTTTTATATTCATAACTGTTGTGTTTCTTATTTTCTTAGTTTAACTTTGAAAGGTTTCCTTAAATTTGTTAACTGTTTGCAGCAATGTTAAGTTTGTGTTACGTAGGTGTGTCCTTACAATTTGTATCAGTAAATTATCTTTATTTTCTACATATTCCACCAATGTAATAATTTATGCTATGTTGGCTCCTTCCACCTGCATAAATCCTCTTCCTCCCTCTTTTCTGGATACATGTAAGTGGTAAATGTCTGCTTTTGGGTGATGCTGTCTACAAACTGTTAGCTTTTTTTTTCATTTTATTGTTGTCTTCTTTTATTATGTTATTATTATTATTATTGTTACTATTTCTACTGTTGTTGTTGTTGCAGGTATTATGTTGGGAATAAGCAATATGATAAGTGTTATTCCAGGATTTATATCACCAATCATTGTTGGTTACCTCACATTTCAAAATGTAAGTACCAGAGTTTTAATTTATTAATTTAATTACTCATCTTAATCAGACTATCATTTACCTTCAGGTTTTGTAAGCTAACTTTGTACTCATTTATAATTTGCAATTTTTTGGTGCATGCTACATGTTCAACTCCTTGTATTCTTCCCAATAACCACCCTAACAATATTAGGGAAAAATACATACTATAATGATCCTCATATTATAATTTTCTCTAGTCATCTCTCTTTGGTAAAAATATCCCCCTCAGTATTTCATTCTTAGACGTGCTCAATGTTGTCCTAAAAATTCTTATTGGACTTACAGCAAACTGTAGAACAATGGCAGTTGGTATTCATCATATCAACAATAATGCTGCTGGTATCAGGAATCCTCTATATACTTTTGTCATCGTCTGAGCTACAGGAGTGGAATTCACCCGCTGAAAAGAAACACATTGATGAACTTCAAAAATTGCACCCACATCAAAACATAGACAAAACAGTAAAACAAGAAACACAATATGTTGCAGAAAAGGAGACTCATCACAAGGGAGAAAAAACAGAAAAGTAAAATGACAATCATCTACCTGGTACAATCTTTATGGCGTATTATGCTTCAACATTACAGTAATCTGTGATATGAAAACCTGTTTGAGACTGCTCTTGAACTTTCTCATGAAACTTTTGTTTTCAGGTTTAAATTATAACAGTCATTTACTGTTTACTGAAGAAAACTGTATCAAGCAGTGAAGTTGTTCTGTGACACTACTAGAAGTAATAAAATTCAAAATAAGGAAATGGACTAATTACATCCATAACATGTCTGAAAATTAACAAGGATTAATGTCAAACCAGTATTTCTAGGAGAATTTCTCTGGTACAAAAAATAAAGAGTGAAGGCTAATGGAAAATTACCACTAATAAATGGAAACCAAAAACAAAAACTGAATAGAAAATTGTTCTCACTTCATACAATTGTGTTCCATACTGTGTTTCCTGAAACTTATTTGAACACAATCACAAATAAGCAGAAATTAAGTCTGGTTGTCCGTTAAATACATGCAGAATGCTTTAATGCCCTCAGAAATACGTGGGTTCTGTATTCATAATGAGTGTCTCTAGCTTCATTGCTGGCAATGGAGATAGATAGCATTTTCTCCGGAACGTCGACATCTACCTAGTGTACTCGGAATTGCAAACTAAATTAATCACAATTACCAGGTACCAAATTACTTGACTTACCATACTGTTTCAACACAAACCAATTACAAAAAGCAAATGATCGTAGATTTTCAACGGAACGGCCGGGCTAATTTGCCCTTCCACGTACAGGCGACGACGGCCCGGTGTTTTCGGAGAACTTCTGTATCAGGATATTACGAAAGGTGAGAAGGTAAACATGCTTCCTAATTTTTAACATCATTATTTTCATAGCAGCGGCAAGGAAGCGGAAGCACAAGCAGTACCATAACATGTCATCATAAATATTTTCATACCTGTGGCAGGAACGTAAATGTTATTTTGAACATCTTTATTTTCATTACAGTTGCAGGGAAACGAAAATAACCTTAGTTACAATTACCTCTACCTCCTCCAATGTCCTAATCCTTTGATAAAAAGATCGTCATTTTCTTTGTCGCTCAGGGCGTGCAGCATGGTGTTCCGTGCCGATGGTGCATGGGTTGGCTCTATTGTAGGCTCTCAGATAGTACCATTGCATTTCTCAAGGTACTACCACTCAGAATCCAATGTATTTCTCGAGAAACACTCATTATGAATAAATTTATTTTCCGAGATAATCTCACTTGGATTACTGTATATATTCTTCAAGCCACTCTCAGTAAGAAAATGCGTATTTCTCACAACACATTACCTAAGAATGCAATATTTCTTGAGATACTTATTACAAATGCAGCATCCATGTATTTCGTACTGGAAGATTGGCAGCATGTAACTAGTTGTCACGAAGTCCCCACTCCAACATGAATGCCAACTGCAAGATTGTCATCTTGTCTACTTGCTGTATGGTCTTTAATACTAGCATTGTCTGCAGACATTTTGAAGTGCAACATTAGAAAAATCAAGAATGGACTTGAACTAATGAACACAAAGAGTAACGTTAATTTGTTATTTGTATGGTGGTTCTGGTTTCTTAAAATCAGACATATGATTTCCACTTACCATTCTCCTGTATCCATTTTCTATGTGGAATGAAGGTCTAAAACTGAATATGTATATACTGAACCTTTACTTAGAGCTTGTAAATGTGAAAAATCATGGGAAGGGGGTATATGTTTAAATCAATTTCAAAGTGCTTACTGCCTTAATCACCAGGGTGCCCTGATGATGGAGGTAGTATTATTCACCTCTGAAACATTGGTAAATTTATACCAGTCTATATGACACAATATCCATGAAAAAAACCAAACTGTTTTGTTTTCCAGTCCACATATTTTTTCATATAATTAATAAAGAACAAAATTATTAAAGCTGCATGTAAAATTAACCTCAAAGTTAAAAATATCGAAACTTGTTCACAAAAATCTCTTGTAAATGAGAAGCCAAAAAAATTGGAAGAGGACATGTTTATTTCTACATGGCTGTATCACCACAAATAAAATATAGTACAGTAATTTAATTCATAATATAGGCTGTAAGATATCTAAAAAATATGACCATAGAAACTGTAAAATGTTGTGTAGTGACAAAATACATATTAAAAGACATTTTTAGAAACGAATTGGAATTTTTAAAACCTGATACAGTGTCATTAAATAGGACTTATTCTGATTATATGTTCATCAGTCTTCAACACACAAGATGAACTGAATTCTGGAGAAATCAAACTCATTTTTCATAATATGGAGAAGGAAAATTTTGGCAGAGGTTATAATTACATATCTTCTACATGTATTTTAAATATGGTACTATGTCAGTGTACTGTTGATTGTGGTGTCCCTAGCAACCATGCCAATATGTACAACTACATACTGTATATTATAATTTATAACATGTTTTCAGTGTCTCCTGAAAAACTGAGTGACTCAAACATAGATGGCAATGGCTGTCTTCTAGGTTGTAGCCCTGTGTAGTCTGGCAGAAGTTTATCAATGTTTCTGAGGTCCTCACTTCCTCCATCATCACGGCCTCCAGACTACATGGCACTACAACCCAGAAGACAGCCATCTTCGGACTCACCACCGTTAAAACCCAATCCTACAAATATAAATGGTTTTTAAAGAAAGTCAATGATATTCTGCACCTCAATACTTGATTAAGTGTAATTTCAGAGCCTGCAAATATTGCTCCCATATCAAAATAAAACATTGTATCCTAATGTCCCTTATTTTACATTAAAAGTTTTTACAAGTTTTGAGATTTGAGGTTCTGACAGCATTGAAGCTGTGAATTGTGGTCTTCTGGGTAGTGACACTGTGAGGCCTTGTAGGTGGTTACCAACATTTTGAAGGAATGTTATCACCTCCATGTTCACGGTCACATGACATTATGGCCCTGAAGAGAACTTAAAATCTCAAAGAGCTGGTAAGCTGCTAAATACACAGACAATAAAAAATTACCTACATTAAGAACAATAGTATATTACTAGTAAATAGTATATTCACTGTACACAACATTGGTTTAGCCTAAAGCCCGAGATATATTTTCTGACATTTCTTGCTGCCTAATCAAATTCCAATAGAAGCCCCTCTGTACTTTCAGGAAGTCATGAGTGCCCATCTGAAAACAGAAGACAAACAGGTGTTATTTCAGGATATATACAGTACGTTAAATAACAAGAAGCATAACAAAGTTTGCTCTTTGTTCAGTGATTTAATAAAATGGGTTTGACATGCAGCATGCATGGGAGAAACAGTCAGTATGTACAAATTTTTGTTTGGAAGGGAACAGTAAATGGTATTATTAGGAGGATCTTGTTATGGTAAAAGTAAATTAGTCTGTGATGCTTTATTAAGGACTGCACAATGAAGTGTACAGGGGAGCAAAAGTATAGCTACATTAACTTTTGACATCAGCACTAGATGAAGTCATGTGATCAACTTCATGCCCCATCTGCAGTTAATAGTGTATTCATATTTTATATGAAGACGATGAATCAAATTATATTATAAATCATGAGAATAGTTTCGAACTGTACTGCTAAAAGTTTTAATTAAATATTCTCAAACTGTATTCAGCTGAATGACTGAAATGAGTTGATTACTATTGACTGAAAGCATAGCTCTTGCCTTTAAAACAATCACACTGCAGGCTCATTTTTTTTTTGTATAAAAACCATACATACACCGCAATTTGTCTCACCTCCACTACAACACCGTTGTGAAGCACCACGATCATATCTGCATTTTGGACCGTACTGAGTCTATGGGCGATAACCAGAACAGTTCGACCTTTGCTCACATTGTCCAGAGAAGTCTGCACAATCTTCTCTGACTCAGCATCAAGAGCACTGCAAGAAAATACGCTAATAAAACAAACAAACTTTCGGGTCATGAAAATCTGAAATTTACAAAACATTTTTGGAGGCCGTAAGCACCTCTGAAATATCAGTCAACTTCTACGGCACAACATCTCAGAACGCTGTCATCTTCAACTGCAAAATGTAAAATACTGTATTGATGGCTGTAAATACCTGGTAGCTTCATCCAGTATCAAGATGGAAGGGTTTTTCAGAAGAGCTCTTGCAATGGCAATGCGCTGTTTTTGTCCTCCTGACACTGTTACACCCCTTTCACCAACCAATGTGGAATAACCTTCTGGAAAATTCTGGATAAATTCATCTGCGTTTGCCAATTTTGCTGCCTCTATGACCTGCAGAAAGGAAATGAATTTAACCAAGAATTTCCTGAAAGGTGAAAACCCCATAGTATTATTGTATGAACACTGTGCATGGAAACATTCGAAGATTTGAGGTTCATTTCTCTAAAACACTTATGTCAGTAAACAATGATTCATTATACAGCAGTCATGATAGCCGGCTGGTAGACTGATTTGAACCAAGGCCCTCCCAATACAAAACAAGAGTGATGACCACTTGGCCTCGACATTTCGTTTTAATGACATCACTGATATGGTATCAAATAATATAACATGAAGAACATGAACGGTGAGGGGGTTAGGATGTAGAAGGAAATGATCATGGACTATATTAAGGTTTCTACAGAAGATAATGTAATAAATCATGAACAATTTCAGATAGGGCAGATGATGACCTACCAAGATGTGAACCAAGCACCTTCCAAATCAATTGTAGAGCACTATCCATGTGCCAGTCATTTCTGTGATCCAGAGTCTATTATTTATTTGTTTGTTGATTTTGTTATTCAATTATGCTGTATTGACTGCTGATGAGTAACATTGAATGTGACTTTGAATGATGACTCAAAATGACGATGAGGAAGGAAAGTAGGAGAAAACAGTTAAAACTTATTTTAAGACAAATTCCTTGAAACATCCTGGATAAAAATCACAAAACCCTCAGACTACAATCAAAGAGTAATGCTGGTTAAGTATGGCATTTGGATCTTAGGTAGGTGTTTGGTTCTTAGGCAACATCTAAACACCATTATCTGGCATTTGCACACCTCACATCAGCAAGTCATTTATAGAGGACATTGTAAAAAAACATAAGTGGGTCATAGATTACACAATATTAACAATGTAGTGCCTCAAAAATATGTTCGCAAGAAACTTACTTACAAATTTAACTTGGGAGGACAATGAAATTATTGCATAATAAATAAAAGAGTTGTTAAACTGTTCTGATATATTACATAATTTATAAAATTAAATGTGATAGGGACCATGACACACCAAAGTCACAACCACAAACTTGATTATCAATACATAAGATTACAAACAAAGTCTGTAGTGGAGTAAAAGCGACATGTCATGGGAAAATGGTTGTACCTCGCTATCCGAAGCACTGGGTTTCCCATAACGTATGTTCTCCATGACGCTGCTAGCAAATAACACTGGTTCTTGATTTATGAACCCGATACAATTTCCCCGCAACCAAGAAGGGTCCAGCTCACGAATGTCAACACCACTGACAGTGACAGAACCTTCGTCAACATCATAAAACCTGAAGAAGAAAGATGCAAAAAACGAAACAAGTGAGGGGAAAATTCTGAGCACTTAATCACTACATCTCATCAAGGTGAGAGTGAAATGGATTACATAAATATGAGTTAGGAGGGACATGGAAGCAGTCATGACCTATTTTACGGTATTACTGAAGAATTCTTATTAAGACACTGAGAGAAACTATGACAGCTTGGGTCAAGATAACTGGCCTCTGATCTCTGAACTGATCTTGGGAATAAATTTATATTTGTTTGCTTAATATTTTATTTAACAACGCTATACGAACTGTAGAATTATGTGGTGTGGAATGAAAAGTGGTATGGTAAAATGGTGAGCTGGAACGGATGTAGGAACAATAACCGTGTACTCTATCTGTTAATTCTAGAAGACTAAGTTAATGATATTTGACTGCCAAGTCTATTCCAAAAGTGCAAGTGTCAACTTTTATTAGTTTGATATTCTGACTTGTACTTTTTGTCACTAAACGCCTTTATACTGCTTTAAGTCCAGAGCCACACACTTAGGACTTTGGGCGACAAAACTGGAAATAGGGCAAATTTCTCTTCTAGAACAACAGCTTTCCCCACTAATAATTATTCCAACAAAAATCTTCGCACATCTAATAGTGACGTCTGTGACTGACAAAAGTGGGTCATAATAATAAAATGGTTTAAAACCTTCACTCCCAATATATCTTTATTCATGAGAATTAATTATATTACGATGCAGTTAGAGTTACAACATGCCTTTCCAGAAGAGCTGCAACTGTTGATTTCCCGTTGCCTGATGATCCTACAATGGCGACTGTCTTTCCAGCAGGGATGTGAAGGTTAAAGTTCTTCAGCACAACCTGTTGAGAAGTATTAAACATCAGCTCACAAGTACAAAACTCAAACACAGTTATTGTTGCTTAGAATCTCACAATTTTAATTCCAGGTTTATATTTTTATTTATATGTATCTTATAAAGAAGACTTTGTCTGTGGCCTGTTTAAAAACATGTCATAATATTTCATGTAACAGAAAACATTTCAAAATATCTGGCAATAGGGATTGATTGGGTCTTCCTACATAAGAAGCAGGAGTGATAATTTCCTTTTATGTACAACGGAAGCTGTCAACAGATAGGTAACTTGCCTGTAGCCAACACGCAACTAAAATTACTAATGTAGGATTTGAGGTTTTCATGGTGGCGAGTCTTAAAATTAAAAGAAACAGACGGATTAAGTCACAGCCACACAATCAATTCCTTCAGCATGAGCTGTTCACGCTGCCTGAACTCACCTGTTGTGGTCTTGTAGGATACGCAAACGTAACATCGTTGAATGAAACATCTCCTATCAGAGAGTGGTGTGGAATCTTCTTACCTCCTGTTACAGGCATTGATGATTCTAAGTTAATGAACTGAAACAATCCAATAAGACAACTTTAAGTCACACGGTTTTCTCTGTCAAAATAAGTAATACTGGCATGACTGGGATGGATACTTTGTTATTTAACAACACTCGTCATCCGCAGAGATTATGTTGCATAAATGAAATGGAAAGTTATAATGGCGAGCAGCCTAAGAAAGCGCGAAGATATGATTATGACGTATTTCATGGTAATGTTCGAGCATTTGGCTGGAGAGACTATAGGAAACAATAAAATATAAGTTGGAACATCTAATTAACCAAATCCAAAATTTCCATGGGGTACCTTTTGAACATACACATACAAAAAAAATGTAGAGTGAATGATAGTTACTTTTATTTAAAAGCTTCTAAATGTACAGAATACTAGCAGAAATTATGAAATATATGGGAACAAACAATGTTTCTCTGTCCCTACTAAAATCTTGTAAACCGTGGGCTACAAAACAATAATGTTTATTTTCTAAAGTATTCATTAAAGAAGCATAATGTTGAAAGACCAACATCATCTATAAAGTACTTATCAAACAGTTTCACTTTTTTATGCCATGCAGGAGAGAAAAATTTGATAGCAATGACAATGTTTATTTTTGCATACATGGTTCATAAAAGATAAAGGTATCATCTAACATCAGATCAGCCACATGGCAGTTCATAATTTTTGCACTAACACTCTAAACCACCTGTCACATGGGAGAAGAAGAGATCGAAGTACTTATAGTAATAATTATTAAAAAAAAAGGGAGCAGGTATCAATGGTTGTAGCACAGTGTTAAGTAATACTTACACAGAAAACATAATTATGCCACTATTGGGTAGGAATATTTTAACATGAGATATCTGCCGTCATTTAGTCGTACTTACTTCAAAGACCCTTGCTCCTGCCCCTAGTCCTTTCACCATCTGACCAAACAACAGAGAAAGCTGTGTAAGAGAGCGCTGAATTGTTTGTGTGGCCACAAGGAATGACATTAGATCACCAGGCGACACCTGGCGGTTTGATACCAAGTACCCTCCTAAATACAGAGTTGCTAGAACCATCCCATTGAGAAACAGGTTTGTTCCTGCCTGAAAGAAGAAAATGCTACATATTTTATTGTAAATAAATATGGATTACAATATGTAATATTACTGGGGGATATTGGGAACGACCCGTTCTTCAAATGCCTGAGCACTGCAGGTCCCAACTTTACATTGGCTCGATCTATAGACATTCCGTAGGACTCCTTGGACGAGGGATCGGCCCATCACAAGGCCACTACCTGTACACAGCACAGCGCAACACAGAAAAATGTGGACAAACATCCATGGTTTGAGTGGGATTCGAACCAATGGTCCCAGCGACCAGGCGGCACAAGGCCCACGCCTCAGACCGCGCGGCCACTGCGGACCCCATATGTAATTTTACAGGGTGTAATGGCAGTGAGTATGAAGACGCTGTCTTCTGAGTTGAGATATTCACAGAAACTGACCAACATTTCAGAAGTGCTCACTGCCTCCATCTTCCTAACTAAAGAGGCAATAAGAAAGATTTTCTTGTTTGGGAAGTAAGATTACAAAGACACTCTGGAATTCTGGGGAATAATATACTGTATTGTATTATTCGGAAGTGGAAAATGCCAGAAAACATACAAAACATTTTTCTTACAAGACACATGGAGTTCAAACATGGCATGGACTATAAGAATAGAAGCATATTACAGGCAGCAGATATGGAGATTCTAAGGAGTATTAAAAATTTAAAAAGTGGGGGTAAAATCGAAAACCAGGACATTATATGAGTTGAAAGCAGTAACACTACAAGAAAAGTGGTATGGATTATGCCATATACATATGTAAACCAAATTCCTCTGAAAGAATCAAAAATTAAGACAAATAAATGATCATTAGCGAGATGAAGTGTAAAAACATAGGAAAATAGAATAAATGTGTGAACACAGATACAAGATTCCTGGAGAGAGACAACTGAAGAAGACTTTGTCATATCAAGACCTACTCCCATGGAAATGTTGATGATGATGATATAACCATATCAACAATATTTAACAACTACAGTGGCATATGTATGGATGGGAGGATAATATTAAAATGTATCTTATGGAAATAAGTTGTGAAGGCTCAGAATATGCTCTAAAAATTGGGTTTTGTGAACACAGTTATAAACGTTCTTGACCGAGTGAGAAATGAATACACTTTTAAAGACAAAACCATGCAATTAGTTAGTCAGCACCTGAAACAGTCCAATACCAAAACCCAAATGTTGGTTCAGGTGACTCGCTTCATCACATTGTTGGCGGAATAACTCGCACTCTTGACTTTCCATGGCAAAAGCTCGTACCGTGCGAACATTGCTGATGGCTTCTTCACCTACGCTGGTTGCCTTAGCAGCCTGAAATAAGCGAGAAACAAATGGCTGGCAAATTAGCTCATCATCACCCAAAAGACTAATGAATTTCTACCTCATATTTGTTTATCACGAGCCAATAAAATTATTATACTTCTATAGAGTTTCATTGCATACAGCTTTTATTATGCTGTATGATGTTATTATTAAAAGTACCTGGGCCTGCGCATCTCGCGATAGCTTGCGCAGCATTGAACCTAACACAGTTCCTGTTACGATGACTGTTGGGACAATTAAAAGCATCGTCCAGGTCATCTGTGGTGAAATAAGGAAGAGTGATGCACCACAACCAATTATCTATAAAAGTGAAACAAAAACTACTGGTACCAGAGTATCCTTACAAGATAATGGTTCAATAGACAAAAATGAAACCTGTATGTACTGTAAGTACCTAAAGTATTCCTTCTTACCTGCGCAATACTCCGTAATCCCTGTGAAATGCAGAGCTTGAATGCACTTTTAAAATCTTGGATATCAGAGGTCAGCCTTAGAACAAAAGTTCACATACAAACCATATTTAAAGTACAAGTATATACGTTCGAACACCCCATAACACCATATCATACATCTGTATATGTCTGAAACATCATAGTTACCTATTAACCAACTCTCCTGTTCTTTGTCGATCAAAAAAAGCAATATCTTGTTTCATGATGGACTCAAACAACTCCTGCTTCAATTGGGTTGCTACTTTCTCGCCTACACATGACAAAATGTAGATGTACATGAAAGTGAAGCAAGCCTATATAAAAAAGAAATTAAGATGTAGTGTTTTTAATTATGTTCAAAGTGCAAACACACACAAAGTGTAGTTCACACTTCTGAGTACAAATAAATATTTTTACGACAGACCTGAATAATAATAAAAAATAAGAATTTAGATGGCAACATTCACAGCCTTTTTCATGGTAGCATCATGGCATTCCTCAGGAACACAACAAGGAAATGCAGTCGGGATAGCTAGTGTCCTGGGCAAGATCTGAAATGAACACACATCTTAAAGAGTTCCCAATGAAGGTCGAGGAAGAGGGAAAGCAGACGAAGAGATTTATGTTCTTAATAATTCTTTCTCAACTGCAGAGTTCAGACAGTGTCAAACAGGAACATAAATGTGAATTAGGAATTGGGAAAAATAACTATGAAAGTGGTTATGGTACATCTGAAGGTTCTATACCAGTAACTGAATAAAACCACAGAACGCCTAATTCATCACATCAGGATTTTGCAGATCAGAATGAAATGAGACCACGAGAAGTAAAAATGCTTGTCACGTAACTGCTTCATTAAGACTTTACAATCCTTTTATTTTATACATAAAGAGGAAGTTAGGTTAATCATATTATCTATTTACTTTACACAAAAAATCTAAGGTTTTCACACTTCAGCGAATTTTGATTGGATCTTCTCAATTAAGATGCCGTATACTCTTGTAGACTGTTACTTGCAAGACTAAGCAGTGCCATAACCCAAAAGATGACAATTCACGTTTGGCTTAAACTTGTCTTTGCAAATACACTTGTCTCAGCCAGGACTAAACATTTCTATAGGTAAAAATTCACAGACTCTCACCTGTGACACATACAAGAAGACCAGGCGAAAGACTGGCAACTTAACTTGTTCTCTAAATAATGCACTACCACCATTCTGTGCAAACTTAGCAACCACATTAATTACACTTCCCAGTAACCGAGGTATTTCAATGTTCAACACAGCAACTACTAACGCCCCCTGTAAAATAAACAAATTCCATTTTACAGGAAAAATGCACAAAATAAAATGCTACTATAACAAAATAACAAATTCAACTCCCCCCCCCCCAGAATAGAGAAAACTGCTGAAAATGTATATGATAAACGCTGTAAATTATAGCTGTACGCACAAATCATATTTTATTAAACTATGTTTCTATTTTATGAATTGTACCAATTTAATCATTCAAACAGTATTAGGAAAATAACGCAGACTGCAAAGCTCCTAATTTTTAATTTTCTCGTACACCCAAATATTGTCATTAATTTTTATTTCTGAAATATCCTTAATTTCAATTGTTCCTAGAAACCAAGTTTCAAACTCAAAAATCATCCTATTTATCTGCATTAGGAAATGAAACTTCAACTTAAGACAAAATGATTTCCCTCATATGAAATATAAATGCCGTACATTAAATGCTAACCACTTATACTCCAGAGTTGTACTGCAGGGCCTCACTGTCTTGGTTCACTCAATATGGACTGCAGTCAATTAAATAATTTATGACTGACCTGTGGTTTTGATGTTAATAAAATAAACAGAAAACTAAGAATATAATAAACTCAAGCAAAGAAGCAATACGAAGCTCTTCACTGATGTTCTTTCATTCACAATATTAAAAATGTCAGCCATAACAATATTAATTTTTCAAATTTTATTATGTGTGTTAATAATTAACTGTATAGCACTAGAACCTGAAGGTTCAACACTGAGCCTGCTGCTCAATACCTCTAACTTCCCTAAGATCCATCATAATGTAACCTCCATCTTCCTCTTGCTCTATAAGAGATTTCCCCACCAAAATTCAAGTTACAAGGTCAATCCATCACATCATACATAATTTCACCATCCAAACAACACTACACATCCTGCATAAATTATTAAGTCCCTCATTAGCTCTCATGCAAAGAGGTTGATTAGCACTAATTTAAACAATACAGTTAATACCATAAACTTATACTTCATGTGCAATAAACATACTGCAATTGCTGCCAACAGATAGTATATGTGCGGCCATAGGAGAGCAAAAAATTTGTTCCAATCAAACTTGGGATCCACTTCAAAATTTTCCTCAAATTTCAGTCCTGATATTCTTGATGTTTGTGATGTGTGGCAGGATGCTAATATGCTACCAGCACATGTCTTCACTCCCCACACTGTTCCAACCCCAAAACATAATTTGTAGAGGAGATAACGAGGTTTCCTGTATCCATTTACGGATAACGGTGGTCTTTTGGTACAGTGGTGTAACGTCTGTGTATCCACTTTTAGGTGTTCTTTTATGAGCCTTAAGGTGGTGGCCAATGGTTTATTGCACCAAACATCTGCAGCATACCTACAATAACAAATAATTACATTTGGAATGCAACATAAATTAACTGCAAGGTGTTGAAAATTATTTTTCACATAATAATCACCATGGTCACAAGAACACATTGCACATTTATAGACGTTTATAATTAACATTACTATAAATAATATATTCCACACCTACATAAATTTTGATTATTTAATTGCTCACCTGCAAAATATGCCATTTGTGGGCTGGTATAATTTCGAAAATCTCCACATAGCATACAAAATTAATTTAAGTAAATGATATTACTATACTCCACTACAAATTACACTCACATAACCTCCAAAGCATTACAACACAAATCAGGCAAGTACGTCGACAACGTAATGCGATATTACCAACATAACCAATATTATTTTCCTGTACAGAATATGTAATAAAACCAGCCCAGTTGAACCATTTTTACAATGAGACTAGGAAGACAATATACGAAAACAAACGGCAAAAATGTCCAAACAAGCAGCGCCGAAGCAAATGTATTTGGTGCCCAGGCGAAATGGCTGCCTTGACTACCTCAGTATTATTCCACAACCAGAAACTGTTTCCAGATTTACATGAATGATGCCTTTGCTACCCTGAAGAAATGCATTAAATAAATAAATTCACATTAAATTTTGACAAAACAAATTTCATGACATTTTGTACTACCAACAAAAGTTATGTTAATCTAGGTGTAGGGTATGAGAATAAAACAATTGAAGAAATAAAAATAAGCTAAATTTCTTAGCCTACAATTTAGCAGTAACGTAAACTGTAAAACACGGATCCAATACATTATTCCTAAACTAATCTCATCATGCTTACTATGAAGACTGTCACATCACTCAAGAAAACAGAAACTTTAAAATTTGTCTACTTTGCTTACTTCCATTCCTACATGTTATATGGAAGTATTTTCTGGGAAAACTCAACAGACATCAAAAAAGTATTTTACATTAGAATAATGGCAGGCACTAAAAGTAGAGCCTCATGTGTGGGGAATTGTTGAATGTAAATAAATTCTATTCCATTCTACTTCATTCTGTATTGGTTTGGTATCATTACAGGAATCAAGTGGTGTCATGGCAATTCTGTGTTATTATGAAAACATGTTTGTACAAAATTTAAATTACTTAGGTCCTACCTACCATTTCAAGCATTTTAGTATTTAATATTTAAATTAATATTTTGGTTTGGAATATACTACCATATTTGGTTAGGTCTTTTTCTCTGTGCTATGCATATGGTAGATTGTATTATGCATTCATATTCCTAAAAGTAAATATAAATTTCTAGCTGGCATTATAGGAGAATTCATTGGGCACGTATTCATTGAAGTATGAAGATTCAGAAATGAGAATATATCATCATAGTTCAATGGAGACAAAATACAAACTTATTTTGGATTCATACTTGAAGGAACTTATGTCTGTAGGAAGACGATAAAAATGAAGACAGAGACACATTTGAGAGGAATTGGAACTGTAATATGATAGACACTGTGTAAGATTTGAGGTTTTCACAGTGATGAGTATGAAGATTTCTGTCTTCCGGGTTGTTGCGCTGTGTAGTCTGGTCGATGTTTACCAACGTTTCAGGGGCCATACTGCCTCCGTCATCAGGGCGATGGTTAACATCGACCAGACTACACAGCGCAACAACCCAGAAGACAGAGATCTTCATGATAGACACTCTTAAGTACATTGTGTAATTCATTTAAACTGTGTTGTAAAACATACATTGTTTTGTACAGCACGCTAAATACATGCTCAATAAATGACTAAAGCAATAAAGTTCTTATCTCTGTTAATGCTGCATCCTTCGCAAGTTAGATAATGCAACAATCGAGCTCAGTTTAAACATCACCAATTTGCAACAAGTAGGAATAAAGGTTTTCATAGTGTAATAACCCAGAAGAAAGCCGTGTTCAAGTTAAAACTAAGAAGGTTATAATGAAAGAATATGAAAAATAATAAATGCCTGTAAAACATTTGGTTTGAAAACCAAAAGGGTTTCTCGCAAGACAGAATATCAAATTATTCTTTTGCAACCCGACATATTAGAATGGCTGTACGGATTAAGATTAGTGATTACTGGGATTTTTATCTGGGGATAAAATGTCTGAGTCATGTGGCTAAATGTTTAATTTTGTTCAAGGTTAAAGTTTAGAATACTGGTGCCTTCACGACATAATACTTAGACACGCAGTTACCTTATCTTCAGTTCAGACAAGCAGCATAGCAAACGTAGCAAGGCTGTACTGCAAACTTAGAGCTATGTGGCCTTGAGGCTTGCAATTTCGTGACAGCAAATATAATACTATGATTATAAATTGTAATAATATGATTAAAATTTATCTCTTCTTTATTACGCCGTCTCCTTTACAGGAGGTTGGCGACCTATATGAATAGGATCTTTCCATCCTTTTCTCGGACTGGGACCTGTTCATATACGTTCTTGGCAGATGATCCAGAAGTGGTTTGCCATTGCCTTCTTCTGTGTGTGAATGGAGTAATTGTTGGGATGCCACGGAGAAAAACTCCGTGTTGCCTAGACCACGGCCTTGCCCAACACAAGTTATAAATTCCAACCCGAGACCCCAGGATTACAAGGCCAGCGTTCTAACCGCGATCATAATTAGTTTTTCAGTGTAAAAGCTGCACAGCTGTCTCGTTAATCAGCATCCACTTCATTGATAAAGATCGATAAACAATATACAACTAAGCACTGGGGCCTTCCTCAATTTCTTTCGGTTAGACACTCTTAAGTACATTGTGTAATTCATTTAAACTGTGTTGTAAAACATACATTGTTTTGTACAGCACGCTAAATACATGCTCAATAAATGACTAAAGCAATAAAGTTCTTATCTCTGTTAATGCTGCATCCTTCGCAAGTTAGATAATGCAACAATCGAGCTCAGTTTAAACATCACCAATTTGCAACAAGTAGGAATAAAGGTTTTCATAGTGTAATAACCCAGAAGAAAGCCGTGTTCAAGTTAAAACTAAGAAGGTTATAATGAAAGAATATGAAAAATAATAAATGCCTGTAAAACATTTGGTTTGAAAACCAAAAGGGTTTCTCGCAAGACAGAATATCAAATTATTCTTTTGCAACCCGACATATTAGAATGGCTGTACGGATTAAGATTAGTGATTACTGGGATTTTTATCTGGGGATAAAATGTCTGAGTCATGTGGCTAAATGTTTAATTTTGTTCAAGGTTAAAGTTTAGAATACTGGTGCCTTCACGACATAATACTTAGACACGCAGTTACCTTATCTTCAGTTCAGACAAGCAGCATAGCAAACGTAGCAAGGCTGTACTGCAAACTTAGAGCTATGTGGCCTTGAGGCTTGCAATTTCGTGACAGCAAATATAATACTATGATTATAAATTGTAATAATATGATTAAAATTTATCTCTTCTTTATTACGCCGTCTCCTTTACAGGAGGTTGGCGACCTATATGAATAGGATCTTTCCATCCTTTTCTCGGACTGCGTAAGTGGTATTCTGGTTTGTTTGCAGAAAGATTTGGAAGCCGCTGAATATTCAAAGAGACCAAAGTTTTTAAATTAAGTTTTATTAACTGTATGAGACACAGTCCTGTCAAAGAAGATGGGAGTCAAGAAATTCACAGCCTCTTACAGGTTCATTACTGTGTTTGCATAAGCCTGCCAATGGCCCATGCCCTGAGTCAGATGGGAAAAGTTCACATCCTAACACCCAATTTCTGTATGATACATTTTAATAATTTTACTTTCGGTAGTCTGTGGTAATTTGTGTTCTGTTAAGTTTCCGAACATGTATCAGCAATGTAGTTTCCTGTAATATGACACGATTCAGTATTAATTTAGTGTGCTATAATGCGTTGTTGGTTTCTAATATTTATCCCTGTAATTATTACTCATGGACTCGGTGGACTAGTGGTTAGTGTGCTCGGCATTGGACCCAAGGTTTGCGGGTTCAAACCCGGCCGAGGTCTATGGATTTTTAAGGATGATAAAAAATCCTTAACACGACTTTCTTCGGAGGGGAAGTAAAGCCGGTGGTCCAATGTCGTAGATTTACGGCGTGTAAAAGAATCTTACGAATATGGACGAGTGTTTCGTAAGCAAAACTGAGCGGCCATTTCACTCACCTGCTTGATAGAGGCCTTGCGATGGGGTGATCAGTCGTCTTAGTGCCTGCCAAATCTTTAAAACTAAATAGATCAAGAAACCTCCGAATAGAGGCGGCCAAGACCCAAACTGGGTTGTAGAGTCACAGGAAAAAGAGAAAAACCACACACGGAAAAATATGAGGAAATTATGAATGAGTAAATTATGAAAACAGCTGTAAGCTTACATCACTTCCGATTTTGGACTTGGGAAAAATTCAGACGTTAATTTTTATTTCACGGAGTATACGTGTACATCTGTACAACGGAGGACAGTTATTATAACCTTAATATAATATCGTATTTGATACTACGAAACACAAAATCGCATTATATTCTTTAATTTAGTAAACATGAACAATTACGTTATTTTTAATGTGTTACCTTGTTAGATTTTTCAATTAAAGTGCTTTTAGTATTGTTTTAAATTTTCGCGTTGCTCTTAACGGTTAATTATCTAGTATTAGAATAATGAAGGCCACTTGCTTTCACGGACATTACGATTACAAATTCTTGATAATGTTAGTACTTGTATTTAAACTTGCTTAACATCATGCCCTTCAGTTACTAGTCTTTGAATTATTGAAGGCTCGCTTACAGCCTACCTGAGTTGTGCATTTACATGAGTTAAAGCAAACAAACAAATGTTAGCATGTTTAAAAATTACGTAATATAATCGGCGTATGTTTATTGTACATAGAATTCGGTTGCTTTGTGTATGGTTTCTGTGGCGTCACGTTGTACACAAATGGATTATCTTCCGTTGTTCTAACCCGGTTTCGCGTCATAAGTTAAACTGTTCAGTCAGAGTGCAGGAGAAGTACAGTTTTTATACTCGTTTTCTTATTCGCCATCCTTTCGATTTGTAGAGTAAAAAGCAATAGCTTACTAACAGCTGTAAGGTAAGTCTTAGACACATTAACGCTAAATGGTAATAAAAGTTCCGAAATTTGTAACAATAATATAAAATGTCAATTTTTTCGCATAGAAACATGACAATTGTCATGACAGTGAAATGTAGATGGTTTTTGGAATACATGCAAGACGATATATGGATAACATTAAGATGAAGATGACTGCCTTCTCTGATGTTGCGCCATGTAGTCTGGTAGGAGTTTATCGAAGTTTTGGAGGTGTTTGTACCTCCTTCGAAAGGGCAATCATCGACCTGATAGAGGAGGCGAAACATCACAGACGACAGCCATCTTCATAATCGTTGCCTTGACAACCTGAAATCTCAGTTTCCTTGTCACTTACAAATGATAATTCTGGTGAGTACTTCAGAATTTCTACGCTGTGAGTACATTTCCGAACTTGCTTCTCTAGTCTAGTGTATAGTAGACTAATCAAATCTAAAACTTCTTGACGATGGTGAAGAGTGAATTGAATAAAAATTTTCTTGGATATTATCCATCGTCTAGTAAATATAAAACGTAAAACGACGTTTCGGAGATGGGACTCTATCTCCGTCTTCAGGTTCCAATATATCTTAGTTTTTATTTTGGAGTCCGCAGTCTCCGCGCGGTCGTTTGGACCATGGGTTCGAATCCCACTCAAGCCATGGATGTTTGTCCGCGTTTTTCTGGGTCGTGCTGTCCTGTGTACAGGTAGAGGCCTTGCGACGGTCCGATCCCTCGTCCAAGGAGTCCTACCAAAATGTCTTAAAGATCAAGCCAACGTAAAGTTGGGACCCGCAGTGCTCAGGCACTTGGAGAACGGGTAATCCCAGTAGTTTTTATTTTATCTAATTTGGTATGTATATTTTTGGTTTATTTAACGGCACTGTCAGCAGCGTAGATTTTTCGGGCTGAAATAAATAATAATAGAAGAAAAATGAATTGGAGAGGATATGGAAGGAGAGGATCGTGGTTTAATTTAAGGTGCTATCCTGGAATTTAACTGGACGGACTGCAGAAATAAATAAAGATCCTAAATCTCAATCGGTCTTCAGGCCCATATTTGAACCCAGAACCAACAGTTTACAAATAAGGAATACCAACGACTCAAACGTCAAGTTTAGTATATCTAATGTGATAGGCCTGTATCTTTGACAGTTCGTGAGACCTTCATTTCCGTTATCGTTTTCCAGTTTTTAATCTAAGTTACACGTTCAAACAGAAGTTTAGAAACTTCAGTAGCTTTATAAAATTTCAACTCCCTTTCTTTCCATTACAACCATTTCAAGCGTATTGGTAATTGTCTGTACCACCTACCTTAACAATCTAAAAGTCTGATTTTATTTAAAGTGTTTTGTGTGTTTCTCAGTTTAACAATTATTATCCTAAATACCATTAAAAAATTGATCTTTGTAATGGTGAAAAATTGTGATTTCTTTGAGGTATGGACTGAATTATTAAATATTATTTAGACCATTATTGTTTATTATTTAGAGAGCTTCAGATTTTTAAGGCTTAATATTTTATCGCCCAGAATACTCCTTGATACCGATTTATTTTGTATTGTTTTGCGCATTACATAGCAAACTTTACAAGAAATATATCTAGTATTATTAAAGTGTATGAAACTTGTTTTGTAACTGAATTAGAAATAATTCTTTTGCTGTAAACTGTGCATTGACTGTAGTCTGTACACGTGTTCGTAAGTGGTATTCTGGTTTGTTTGCAGAAAGATTTGGAAGCCGCTGAATATTCAAAGAGACCAAAGTTTCTATTCAATGAATAATGAAGATTGTGAGATTAATAAGAGGCAGGTTCATACAAATAGCAGCTACTCTTGCAGGTAAAGTATTTACAGGATTTGTACTTGTATTTTATCTAACTTCATGAACAGAGACCTTCTTGAGGAACCGGTAGTCGTCATTCAACTAGTCTGAAAATCACCAGCCGTTTGCGCAACCCGAAGGTACATTGCCGTGTTTGCAATAACTCGCCACTGGACCATATCTTGAAGTACATGAACCCAGAGGATGTTACGTCGGACAGTGTTCTAGCCCTGATGATGGAGGCAGTATGCTTCACTGAAACGTGGGTATAGAGTAAAAATACTACACGACACAACAGGTTATCATCTGCATGCACATCGCCGTGGACACCTCACATATGAATTCCGTCCACAGACCCCACATCCTATAGACCTATGCTTAAATTGCATACGAACTAATATTTTATGTGTTTATGTTTCACAAATAATCTTATCATTCTAGAGCTCCCAACAAGAATTTTACAAATATTTCTGATCATAATGGGATTAGTAGTAAAATTTTCATGACATTCCCATAGACCTAATGTACTGTTTTATTTTCTTTCTCCCTTTTCCTTCTTTATCTCCAACTTTCGGTCTCTAATTCTGTCTTCGACTCCTTTTCTCTCTTTTTTGTGTTACATTTCCCCATGTAAGTTACGCTCTGACGCTGTATCTCTCTTTCAGCCTCAATGACCTTCACCATGGCCGGTCTTGGAGTAGCATGGACAGCCCCAATCATCCCTAAACTGTTGGCTGCAGACTCACCCATCCCCATGACAGCAGACGAAAGTTCCTGGATGGTAGCAATGCTGTCGGTGGGCTGCGTCATCTGGGTGATTCCCCTCGCATATTTCACTAACGTATTGGGACGAAAGACCATCCTTCTTTTCACTGCAGTTCCCTGCATTATCGCCTGGCTTACAATCATTTTCACTGTCTCAGTTGAAGCTCTGTACGTCGCTCGTTTTCTGTTTGGTGTGGAGGTTATAACCGCCTTTGTCATAACGCCGATTTATTTGACTGAGATTTCTGAAGTCAAAATTCGTGGGGTCCTAAGTTCTGTCATACAGCTGTCTTATAATATCGGTGCCCTGTTTGAGTACTGTATGGGACCTTACGTGTCTTACAAAATTCTTGGAATTTCATCTGCAGTATTTCCAATCGCCTTCTTTCTGTTCATGGTGTGGATGCCAGAATCACCGTATTTTCTTCTTATGAAGAGCAGAGACGGCGACGCTGAACGATCTTTAATGGCACTACGTGGTAAAACAGAAAGCCAACACATCCAGGAAGAATTGACAGCAATGAGAAATGTGGTAGATTCCCTGAAGATGAGAGGGATTCCTATAAGGGATCTTTTTTCAAAAAGGGCAAACCGTAGAGCCCTTATTTTGATACTAAGTCTTGTTATGCTACAACAATTTTGCGGTCAGCTAGCGATTGTATCTTACACAACACAAATAATGAAAAGATCTGGAAGTTCACTGGATGCAGATGTATCGGTTATAATATCAGGTGGAATCCAAACCATTGCTAGCGTTGCAATGTCTTCTCTGGTAGACCGCGTCGGTCGTAAACCTCTTCTTCTTTCGTCTACCATCGGAGTAGGCGTGGCAACATTAGGGCTTGCTGTTTACTTCTGCTTGGATGAAAGAACAGACATCGATCTATCGCCAGTCGATTGGATTCCGATTACGTGTCTCGTGTTATATGTCTCGCTGTTTTCACTTGCGCTTGGTGTTCTACCTTTCATAGTGATGGGCGAAATATTTTTGCCAAATGTTAAGGGCTTAGCAGCTTCAGTGGCATTGATGGTTCACGCTATTGGTGGAACAATAGTCACAAAAATCTTTCAAATTATGACCGATGACATTGGAGCAGATTCTCCATTTTGGCTCTTCTCTGCGTATTGTTTCACTAGCGCATTGTTCATCGTATGGTATTTACCGGAGACGAAGGGTAAAACTTTCGCTGAAATACACCAAGAATTTAATAAAAATTCATATCCTTGAAAAGTTAATAACTTATCCAAGGATTTGGGACAAATTATAAAAAAAATAAATGTATCGTGAATTAAGATACTGATGTACAGGATGTTGTAAAATAATGCATAAACCCTTGAATGTTGAATCGTTTCCGTAACCACGGGCATATCAGGGTCGTGAACCGTGTAACACCACGGTACAGAGAAATTTATTTATCTGTCCGTTTGACGTGCGGAAACTAATTTTGGAGCTAAGAAATTGTACTTCATATGCCAGAAATTACAAGCAGGGCGACGGTTCGATGCGTGTTTACGCTAAACGTACACGGCAGAATCAGTAGTAGGCGAAGTTATGTCTAGAAATTGGACTATTAAATTGTATAATTATTACATTATGGTTTCTGCTAGCCTAAACATCTCATGAAATATGGCGTCTAAAGTTTTTGTAAGTACTTATTTTAATCTAACTGATATCAAACACTCGAAGGGAAAGGTGGAAATTCAGCCCGTAAACTGTATTTTAAAAACTAATGATTACATCTGGTGTGAAGGAATTTCTGGTGTACAGACTCAGTTTATGTTAGATCTGATTTATTCTTATTTTCAGTTCATGTAACTTATGTTTCATATAACAAGGATAGATTGAAGTAATTGTAAATAAAGAATGTTATAATTCGACATATTTCATATTAGTATAATCGTTTATGAGTTAGCTTCGTATTCCAATTTTAGTTCTGTACTTCACAGGCACGAAAGAAAAAGAGTGATATGAACAAAAGAATTACGATAGCATGGAGAATAAATTGTTATAGTTCAGTTAACAACCAGAACTGCCATATTGCGCATGGAAATATTTTGCGTAATTATTTATCTCAATAGATATTATTAGCTGACTTCTGAGATAACTGATTGTTGTTTTGTGTAAGAAGTTTTAACATAAAGATGTATCCAGCATTGCTGAAAGTTAAGTAACAATACATAAAGTTACTAACAACTTAATTAAGTGTGAGTCAAATTTTTCGGTAAGCAAATTATAATTTATGTTAATATATTTTGTAATTAGAATTCTTAACAAACAATGAGATATGAATCTCATTGTTACACACCTATGTGACAGTCCGTTAGGCGTGGAAAAGATTTCTGCCATCTTAAACGCAATTAACATAGCGTTCTCTTTTCACTAACGTAGTAGTTCTTGAAGATGGAATAAGAATTATTCTTCTCTTCAGCTTTCGGGAAAGTTCATTTTTTTTTACATTGTGGGAACATATAATTCAGCACGACAAAACTGACCCAGATTTGAAACCGTTTAATTTTCCATATGACGCACAACGGAAATGGTCAGGGTTATGTGCTGCATTATATTGTATTGCCAAAATACTGATGCACTCAAAATAACAAAACGTGGAACATTTTTAACATGTGCTGTTCTCAGCTTGGGTTCTTCATTTACTATGATATTTATTCTACAAGAAACCAGATTTAGCCGCTGCCTATTTGAATCACGTTTCAGGTCAAACGCTGTAAGCCAGCTTCTTACAGACTCTTCTACGCCAAGTAAGAAACGCAAAGCAGAAACATCTCATTTAAGCTAGACTTTTCATATAATTACAGCTTAAATTTTTAAGCATGTAGCGTGTTGTGAAGGAGGCAAAACGCCTGTTAAAGGATTCATACTAAGAACAACACAAATTTCATAAAGTAAGACCTCAACTTCTTATTTAGGTTTTATCAGAACAAACGTCCAGTATTGGTGCTAATAAAGCAACTAGAGAACTCTGTAACATTATATTATTACATTTAATAATACACAAATCAATCAGTACTAAAACATATCAATGTTAAGTTCGGTAAACAAAGTTTCTTATGAAGCAGCTTTAATACACTTTTTAGTTTCCATTCCTGTATATTAACAATTAAAGGCAGAATAAATGCTAAATCGGAACTTAAAAATTATGCGTAATAGAATACGTAGAAAAGTTCTGCAATTATCTACGAGATGGCAGTTGTTACACACTACTCGTCGCAGTCAAAACCGGTCTGGCCCCACCAGATGAAAGAAATCAATACTCCTATTTTGTTCCGAACAACATTAAGATTATAATAATACGATAATTTATAAGATATGGAATGAGAACACAAGTGTTCAGAATGTGTTCTAGAACATAAAAGGAAAAAACTGTCTTAACTCCATTGAGCAGAACTTGATAAGATAAAGTTGCCCAGCTAGTCAAGAGAAGTTCCTAGGTTTTATTTAACCCGAAGTTTCACTATCGTGTTCACACGATATTTAAGTTTAATTCAGTTCTCCTGATGCGTTTATCATCTTTCCCGTGCTTTCTACATGTCGTGCCCATCCAATCCTCCTTTATTTTTTTGAGCGCTAAATATAAACATATTCGTATCGTAACTTCCCCACATCTAGAATATGTAGTCCTATGGATTGTGTACGTTTCGCAAGAGCTTGTCGCCTTCATTGGCTCAATCCTGTTATTTTTTTCTGTCTCTGCACTCTGAGTAATATTTATTTATTTAGTGTTCTGTCTGACGACAGGTCCATATGAACAGGATCCTTCCATCCTTTTCTCGGACTGGGACCTGTTCATATACGTTCTTGGCAGATGATCCAGAAGTGGTTTGCCATTGCCTTCTTCTGTGTGTGTGAATGGAGTAATTGTTGGGATGCCACGGAGAAACCGGGGAAGCCCCCGGAGGAAAACTCCGTGTTGCCTAGACCACGGCCTTGCCCAACACAAGTTATAAATGACCTGTCACAACTTACGAAAGACTGTCATATGATTTAAGCAGATAAAATACTATTAACAAAATATATTTTTTGATTAGTTTAATTTTCCTGGGTTTGAATTCGCCGGTTTAATGCTTTACCCGTTAATAATACGTTAATATAGTTGATTCGACATTAAATAAATTTTCTTTTTTATGGTTACCGTAAATATTGAGCCTTGGAGCCCAGACGTTGCAAATCAGAGGCTACTTACTGCTGCGTTGCCTGTTATGGGTCAAACAGACGGTGGTATATGACATCCGAATGGATCATTTGCCATATTAATTCAAGCTTTGTCGATGTATTTTACATTACTCGTAACAAACACAAATTGATCACAGCCAATGCATCTGTCAACAGGTCATAGCTTCATAAACATGTGCTACATGACGTAAACTGCGATAAATTCTGTAAAAAAATACACTAACTCCTCCTTTTATTCGAAACATAAATTAGAACACAGATCTAACAACGTTTCAGAATGGGTTAGATTATTGTCTGACATGTAAAGTTAATTTATAAAGTATTAAGAATATAACAGGAAACGTATGATAATTTGTAGCTGACTAAAACTCACGCGTGATTACACTTGTCTTTTCTAACGAGGTCCTGATGACCGAGTCATGGCGATATAATGGAGACGTCACTATAAAACATTTAGATGACATTAGTTTTTATTTTATTTTTGTAAAAATGGTTGAGAAGTGAGACAGAGTAAGGTGGCGGGCTTTTGTGAACACGGTGGCGAACATTCGGGTTCTATAAAGAAAGTGGGATGTTCTTTGACAAACCGAGTAATAATCGACCTTTCAAAGAATATCCTGCACCACAGTGAGTAAGTGAGTGGGTTACGAAGAGAAAAATCTCAGCTCCTGCTTAGAACAGAACCCGGACCGTCGAGATAAAACCTGGTTATTTTGCTTAGTGGTATATTATAAAATCAGAGGGAGACACCTGAAAGAAAAAGGCAGGTGGCCTTGAAAATTAAGCTGGCTAAACAGAATAAAATGGATATTAAGAAGATAAAGAAACCAAACATATATGCATACTTAAGCAGTAAAGTACTTACCACTGTACACGCTACAGTAATTACAATTACTTTACTTACGGTTTGCTGAAAATCTTTTCAGCGCGTTCAGAAATCTTTACGAAGGGAACAGTGATTTGAAGGGAAGACGCAAGTCTAGGAAAATCCGACGTATAAATTGGAAGGCTTCGGGAAATTCTGTTTTTACACATTAATTAAAAAATACGAAACACTGTAACAGTACATTTTTATATATGAAACGAACATCCTAGGCGCAACAGTGATCATGTTTTTCATCTCAGTCGTTTTATTAAGAAAACTGTAAAACTGTATACAATAATGTGTACAGAAATGGAGACGCTTGCTGAATTCTTGTTGCCGTGTTGCATGGCGGCTGGATGTTCACCTGAAACAAAGCGGATTACGCACTTTATCCAATCGGCATTTTTGGACGGCTACAAGACGTCTGCTGCCTACGGTGGACTGCATTATATTCATGGTTGCGAAAAGAAAGCGTATGAGCGTCCAAGTTGTTCACTCACTGCACAACAGATGTAGACACAGCCGATTTACGATAATCTGTGACACGTATTATAAGATACGTGGTGGTGTATAATAAGAAAATAAAGAAGGTATAATTAGTTGATGCCACAGACTCACTGAGCAGTATTATTAGACAGAAAAGGCTAAATAATATAAGAATTTGGTAGAAGAAATTAAAATTATGTGCAGGTAAGAAAATTATTTGAAGTTTCGGAAGACTGCTGCCTTCTGGGTTGTATCGCCGTGTAATATGGTTGAAGTTTACCAACATTTCAGATGTCCTTGCTGCCTCCATCATCAGGGTCCAACCCAGAAGGCAGTTACCCACGGCACATCAACTTCAGGACTCAGAGTTAACAAATGCTACATGCCATATTAAAAAACGTTTTATATTTATTTGTATTTGTTACTTACTCCCCCTTTCTCAGAGTAAACATTTTTAATCTTAGCACCTTCTAATTTATCACTATTTTCTATTTATTATTTGTTCTTAACTTTATTCACGATGTGTAATGAACATCACAAAAATATGTACAGACGAAAGGCGTTAAAATATATGGAGCAGTATGGCCATAGTTTATGCATACATATATATAAACATAACTTTACAATAATATTTAATATAGTGTACAAGAAAGTACAGAATTATTTTGTAATTTAATTCTAATTAAACAGCCTAAACATTATTTCAAGTAAAATTATAGTTTTGCCCTGTTTTTGAAAATATTCCAAACACACGTTAATCACGAGACTGTATAAACTTAAAAAAATAATAAATAAGGTATAACAGGTACTAATAATGATATGATAATTTAATTTAATTCAATTCAGTCTTCAATATAATAATAATCTTCTATCAAGGGCAACAACAACAATAATAACGACGTGTAAGGACTAGAAGTTGTTTAAAAAAAGTGTCACAACGCGTATATCTTGAATTTTAACTTCGGATTTCAAGTCTGAAATATCCCAAACCAATTTCTTGAAACTTTAAGAATTCCAGGTACAATTTGCCTGAAAAGCAATTACGCTGCTAGAAGCGACAGCTGAGTGTGGGAAAAGCAGGAAATATACGACCTCACATTTGTTATAATAAAATGTCAGAAAGTGGAAGTATTGATTTTAATACAGTTCTCTATCTGGCTGATTGAAAGGGGACTTCGTTAGGAGAGGATATTCCAATTTTGTATCGATAGCCCAGCTGCTGCAGACATTGTATTCAGATGTTACAATCGATATGAATGATTTTGGGCCAGCACATCTCAGTCTCTGCGTCGTTATGAAAGTTCCACGTACAACGGAACGGCTAACCGCAATTGATTTAATGAAAAGGGACGAAACAAAACACAGTCATTTTCTGGAGTTGACTCGGATTAGAATAGTTTAATAAATCAGACGAAACAATTCAATGCAGAAGAATACTTGCTGAGAACCAAATACGTACCGAGGTAGACTTTTATGTAAGCAGGGGTTCGTTGCCATGTACACAAACGTCCATTACTGAACTTCATACTGGGATAGATTAATCCAGTCCACACCCTCTCATAACACCCGCTTAAACTCAATTACGAGGGTCGCTCATTAAGTAATGCCCCACATTTTTTTCCTCAGAACATATTTATTCAAGATGGCTCAAATTTAGTGACAATATAAATCAATGTTTCCTTTACACATACTATTTTTCCACATAGTCCCCATCAACTTGTACGGTTTTACGCCAGCGTGGAACAAGGGCATGCATGCCTTGCCGGTACCAGCTCTTGTCCTGTCCCCGTAGCCATGTCCTCACTGCTTGAATCACGCTCTCGTCATCTTCAAATCTTGTTCCGCGGATAGCATCTTTAAGGGGCCCAAAGAGATGGAAGTCGGAGGGTGCCAGATCTGGACTGTAGGGTGGATGGGGTAGCACCGTCCAACCCAATTTGGTGATTTCTTCCCGGGTTCTCAGACTTGTGTGAGGGCGTGCATTGTCGTGCAGGAGCAAAATTTCTGCTGGATGCTTGTGAGGCCGAACTCGTCGAAAACGCTTCTTGAGGGTTTTCAGGGTCCTGATGTACGCGTCTGAATTGATGGTCGCACCTCTTGGCATCACATCCACAAGAATGACCCCATCACTGTCCCAAAAGACAGTCATCATGACTTTTCCGGCGGAGGGAGTTGTCTTGAATTTCTTCTTTCTCGGTGATTGAGGATGATGCCACTCCATTGACTGCCTTTTTGTCTCTGGCTCAAAGTGGTGTATCCAGGTTTCGTCACCTGTAATGATCCGGGACAGAAAGACCTCTCCCTCAGCATCAAAACGCTCCAACAATTCAGAAGAAATCGTTTTCCTTTGAATCCTGTGGTCTGCTGTGAGACTTCGTGGAACCCATCTTGCGCACACCTTCGAATATGCGAGAGCCTGGATAATTGCAATCACACTTCCATTGCTGACTGAAAGCTGTTGGGCCAATTGTCGAGTTGTGATGCGCCGATCCTCACGAATAATGGCATCCGCGCGGTTCAACATGTCTGGAGTGGTGGCTGTGGCAGGACGCCCAGAGCGCGGCAGATCACGGAGCTCGGTTTCTTCACTTCCTGAAGCTTTAACTCTCTTAGCCCAGCGACCAACGGTGCTCCTATCGACTGCACAGCTTCCATACACAGCACACAAACGTTTATGAATGTTCACCACCGTTTCTTTTTCAGCAACAAGGAATTCAATTACAGCTCGTTGCTTGTAACGAGAGTCGTTCACAGACGCCATTTTAACAGTTCACTACAGCTCCGCTATCGGTTGGAATCATTTGAAACTCCGTACACGAACGCGGGAAACATCAAATCTCAAGCATGTAAAAGTACACTTTTCTATCTTCAGTATTGGCTGAGAAAAAAAATGTGGGGCATTACTTAATGAGCGACCCTCGTACATTATCACCCACCTATCCCTAAGACTAATTTTTTCCTTCGGAATTTAATAAATTTTCTAGGCATTTATTATCTCCCCCATGTGTGCTACATGTTCAGCCCATATCATCGTTCTTTATTTGATAATCCTAATAACATATGGAAAAGAGTATAAATTATGAGCAAAATCATATTAAAAATAGTGAAAATTTCCTTTTCAATTTCTTAATATTAAACCAAATGAAACCATGAAATCGTATGGGGCTGATGTAGAAAAGATAAAAGTGTGCATTGACTGACAATGGGCGAATAAGTAACTGAATGACTGCAGTCAGGTCAGTGAGATTTAATGACACGAGTCACTGAATGCCCACGGGTTCAAAGCATGTTTTGCCTGTGGGAAATCACAAGTGGGTTAATTCAAATGAACGGCTGATTCTATGTACGGAACACGCGTCGCGTAGCCGATGGAAATTATTAAATTTAAATCAACATATGTGTTCGTATTACACTGAAAGGGTTTCTAACGTTGCCTCTCTGCTGCACTATTGTCCATATTAGCGTAGCACGACCCGGCGAAGTTCTTTTGTGTTGAATAGTAACACAATTTATTACAACATTATATTATCAAATCGCACTTAAGGTACAAAATTCACAAAATTTAGTTTCTATCAAATTAAATGTGAAAACATTTTCACGGCGATTAACAACAGACTCCCACAAAACGCAGTCTCCGCCAGACCCCATCATAGGAACCACATTGAAAAGGTTAAAAGTACGCGCTTGCCTGTGTTGAATGAATCTGTAAATAGCTCACTTCTTTAGACACTCAAATTTTCTGTGCTGAACGTTCATCACGACGCTGAGAGAAACATAATGCTCTTCTGACATTACTCAAGACGCAAAGATACGTTTTCCAAATTCCATTCCAAAATTTTTAATAACCTGTCGCTATTTATTTGAAATATTTTTCCTTTCTTACTTGCCCTGTTATCTCTGATACCAAAAACCCACCGTTTTATTGTGTGACGAAAGGCGCATTCAAGGATAACAATTATTATAATTCTGGTTTGCTGGTTTTTGAGCCTCAAAGAGAGAGAGAGAGAGGAAGGTCCGTGGTTTTGAGAGTAACTCCTCTCCTGGACCAACAGCACCGCAAGGAAGCCGTCTATAGTCCTATGCTCTCGTCCGAACAAACCCAGATAACACAAAGCCAGTTCGAGTCGTCCAATTTTACGCTGGCCTCCTCGACATTCTATTGAATAGGCGTTAGGAAGTGACTTTTCCTGGGAGAGGATGGGTTAAAAGCGGGGAGGGGGGGGCACAAACACAAACACACATCTCTTTGTCCAGCCTCACAACGTGGCGTATTACAGAGCCGCTCAGAAGTTTCTCATACATAGCTAAAGCTTTGTATACGACAGTGTGACAACAGGGTGCACCTCTAGAACTCAGAAAGGGAACCAGAAATTCACTTCAGCAGACTTGGTCTACCATCCTACATTTCAGATTTTTAAATTAATCATTGCGTAGGCTACCAGTTTTGCTGGTGATGTCGGAACGATTTTTTTAAAACAAAAGGTGACTGATTTTTAAGCATATCAGAAACTAAAATCCACAAAAATGCACATATTAGCTTCATAACTTCTGTCCGAGTGAAGAAAACCTCAGAACCTCTAAACTGACTTCCATAAAATTTAATATCATCGAGTTTTACCCAGACCTGCAGACACATTACAATTTCGGTCAAGATCGCATAACAACGAACACCTTATATGAAGGCCAATGCGCGTTTTACGTGCGGAAATAATTAAACAGAACATTCCCAGGCTACTTTGGATACCGTGATTACCTAGGGAATCCAAAATTAGAAGCGCGAACTTGTAGGGGAATCCTCCGTGATGACGTAATCACCGAGCAACACAAGCGACAGACACAAGGCGCCCACGTAATGGTCACTGAGCCGAAACAAATGTCGTCACTGACTTCATTCAGAAATGTAAAAGAAAGAATTCTGATGAACGCGGCAGAAACTTTTACGCAAAGCGTACATTTTTCAACTTGTTTATATAACGCCCTTAGCTTTTGAGCGTTATGAAAATTATGTGTAAATTGCTAAGTGACGGGTTATTAAAAAATTGTACTTCTTCATTTTCGGGAGATACCGAGTTCGTATCTTGGACGAGATACCGGATATCCTAAATTTTCTCGCGGTCTCCCTCGTTCTCCTTAAGGAAAGTTATGTGGACAATTTCTTAAGTGAGCCATGAACTGCTCCTTCCACATTTTCCGAATTCATCAATCAACGTCAACCTACTATAAGTGACGTACTTAAAAACGCGCCGTTATATAAACCAAAATTGGAGTCAACTTCGGAGGCAAACGGTAAAAGCCTAGCAGGTACATTGAAAAGTTAAATTATGATTTTAAACTTTCATCATAACGCAATCAAATCGTTCTTCCCGTGCTATAAATTATTTAGCATGGTAGTTACAAAGTTATTACGATAAAATACGTACATTTCTGAAACTACCTCGTTTCCTGTCCTCGGGGCGAATATTCATTAGTGTAACAATCGTGTATGTAACGTCTGATAAACCAATATTATTAGGATACCTACATCTTTTTTACACTACATAAAAGTGTAATTCCTTATAAAAACGCTGTGGTAACAGAACCTGATGGTTCAATACCGCTAATACCAAAGTCCGTTACTGGGTGCGATATGAGCCAATTACATTCGCCTCTCAACTTCACAAATTCTTCCCATCACTTCAATCTTAATTTCGATTGTGACTTTCAGAATTAAACCCTGGAGATCGAGGCGATACGTTCCTCCGAAACGTCGGCAACTACCTACAAGACTCTCATTTACAATGTCTGTGTAATGTGTTTATTGAAACGTTTAAGAGTTGAAGCATTGCTCATGCGAAATGATCAACTTGTCAGTTTTGCTAGTAAAAATATTCTCGACACAACGGCGAAGTTGTCTTGTGCTTAATTATGCAACCCGCCATGAAGATTTAAACAGGTAGGTCTATAGTCCAACGTATTTTTAAACTCTGCACTGGACAGAGGTGAATGATTAGCTTCATATTCTGACGCTCACAAGGTAAGTCTCCCCGGTACATATCGGACAGGAGGCTGAATGGGTCTCAGATGTGGCGACAAATAAACGTCTACATCTGCCAAGAGTCGAACCCCATCCATCCATCACGCATTCTAGTCGCTTTACTCACTGAGCTGTCGCGGGACTGTATTAAAACACAATTCTTGCACGCTAATGAAATTAAAACCTGGATTAGCTATTTGTTACAGTAATTATCTTTAAATTGCGTCGCTAGGTTCTGCCAGCTAAAATGCTGACGTACGTATTGCTGATAATTGCAAATTACTAAGCCTGTAGTTTATGTTAACTGTTTCAGGGTAAGTGGTGTGAATGTTTTTTCGCCCCAGATGCGTGGATTTATGGTTGGTAGACCCCAAAACCACGGTTTACGGAGTTTTGTTACAATAACTGCAGATGTCACTGCTTCCCGCAATTTTCTGGTGGCGATTTCACTACAAAACCCGACGACAACTCCTACGGCAGTGGGAGCGAGAAGTTACAACTGATACAAGCAGCATTAAGTATATCCAGTGGTCTAAGGGCACAAAACCAGGGCAACTGGACTCCATTCTACGAATGCTCAAATTTATATTCTGGATCATTAATGCTTAGGTTGGATCTTTATAGGCTGGGAGAAATGTCTTAAAACAATACAATTACGTTTGAGTCAAGTCCTTCTTACCGATCACCAAATATTTAACGAATATGTTTCAAATGCATTCGTTGTACAGGGTGATATAAAAGAGATCAATGATGATAGTGAATACTTAATGAGTAAGAATTTGGAAGTAGGCAGTGATTAATTTCGGCACTCGCCTAAAGAATAAATGATAATCCGGAGAGATTCAAACCGGAAACTTCCAAATTACAAGTCTAGAGCGTTACCGCTATGCTAACGTGCTTAATCACTTGCAAGACTTTCACTCTTTAGATGTTTTTTTTATGTAATAACGGTTTCATTATAGTAATAAATAGGCGATGATTCTTCCCCACAAGAATCTTACGGAAATTCGTAAATAAGAAATGTGGTTCCTACTTCCTTTGACCTTGAAACATCTTCAGAATGTAAAGTTTATTCCATAACGATCAAATCTGTTGGGAAATAGTTGTTTCCACAGCCAGAATACAGGTGGCCAAAGTCTCAGAACGAGAAGTAACATCTTTCTTAAAATGCTTCTCTTTCAGAGATTATTTATTTATGCCATAGTCGTTCCTAGGCAACCACAACTGGTTTCTGTAGTGCAAAAGTTACTTATGAATGCCACTCCAATTTCGGTGCTTTCGAATCGAATATACCTAATGCATAAAGCGGTCACTACGCTGCGTGACAGAGGTAAACTGTATGACAATATGTAATCACACGAAACAACCAATTTCATTACTTCACCGTAGTTTAAGAATAACCCGCCTCTATTTATTTTATATAATACAATATTTTACTATGTATATTCTAATTTTCATTTTAATGCTGTTTTCCGTCCAGTGTCGATGTATGTTAGTTAAGTCGCTACATCTGCAAAGTGAATTTTCCTATGTTTCTTACTTTCAAAGCAATGAGTGATTCAATACGATTATGAATTTATCCCCTGTTTAGAAAGCAACCCTGCACTGCAGAAACACTGATTTATTAGCTTCGGTTTCAGTGGGTTGAATCGGGGTTGGAAAGGGAGAGTCTGATATACAATTTTGTCCTAAATCAAATTTATTTCTGAAACCTCGCACATCAGCAGAAAGGTATCAGTAGACGGGAGACCTCGTGTCCCACAGACATAAATCAGAGTCCTAGTGGCCGCTGCGTTAACATAATCCAATGCTTTTACTATCTATTTTAAAGTCCATGTTAAAAAAAAAACAGACTAGGGTTAGCTCAAACAGCAAAGCGACTGGTCATGACCAGACGGTTGGAATTAGGTTCCTGGAAAGAGTAAGAAATATTATACAGTTTCACAGCCAATGGCTACCAGTGGTAAAGCAGGCCGAAGCGCGAAGCTGACCACTCATCTCCAACAAGTGTTGATATATAGCAGAGCGATACCTCAACGACCTCTAAAAGTCTTTGTAACGTGATGCTTAGACACACGTAACTTTAACCTCGCCACAGGTCACGTGATAGTAAGAAACCTATACAGAAATTCGTCCTAGCGCTTGAAGACTATATTATACGACATCTGAGGTTTTCAGAGCGATGATAATTTTGATTTTGGCCTTTTGGGTTGTGACTCAGCGTAGTTTTTGCGTGGTTACAGATGTTTCGGAGGGATGTATCACCTGGATATTCTACCCTGAAGATGGAAGTAATATGTTCTCCGAAAACGTTGGTAAACGTCTACAGGATTACATGGCGTCATTAATAAGATGACAGTTTTGAGAAAAAAAGGCGTTAACCGTCTTAAATTCAGTTTTCATGATGTAAGACTATTTCTTCTTTGTAATATTTTAATTAGTTTATTTTTTGTTTGCTATGTCTAAAACGGGAAATCCTGAAAAAAGTTTAAAACAATCCAATTTATGTCACGCAGAAAAATCACGGAAACCTCAGACAATAATTAACTCTTTGTTGCGCCTGCAAATATCATTCAGAACAAAATTCAAATTTATGGGCCATCTATAGTTACTTAGACAACATTAGCCACTTAGCCAATTTTAACAAATGTTTGCAAATTCGTTCTGAATTTAATCTCAACAATGAAGGATACTATAACAACGGGTTATAATGACGTAGTTGCCACAATAATTGCTTCAATTAAATGTACGTACGTGTCGTAAACTGCAGTAACAATAAATGTCGTATTATAACCACGTACAAGTCCAGCCTATTTCGTGTAACGGAATGGCACAAAGATAATGTAAATATCCCGTGTTTGGCTTCCAGTGTCATTATATCCTGTACAAAACAGAACAAATTAGAATAACAAGCACGGCGTATACTCCGCCCATACGCATTCACAAACTGTTCAACAGATTTCGATGATACTTCGTATTCGAGGTGTACAGTTCTGACGTGCATCTTCCTAAGCGCTCAGAGGCATTACTTATTTTCTGACATCCAATTTCAAAAGTACGTACAAAAAAATATTTAAAAATAAAAAAATATATACAATTTATAAAAAAATATACAAAGGATGGGTATAAGTCGACAATTCATACAATTTTTTTTAAAAAAATTCTTAACTGACACACAAATTATATAGTAAGGACCGCAAACGTCATAACTTCGTTACCAAACACTTTTAATTACAGAGTAAGTGAACAAAAATTCACTAAAATATATAGAAACCAGTAAGCACTCCTTGTTTCAAAGTATATAAGATAAATCTACCAAAGCACCACGCCATGGTGGCGTACTATCTTGATATTTGCCTCCCTAGTTGTCATACTGCACGCCACAAAACGTGTTACTTACCATTGATGACGTGTACGTTGACACTGGCTGGTTCAGCGATGGTCGGAATGCACGTGTAGTTACCGGAATCTGAAGGCCGTGCCTTGGAGATGTGAAGTCGTGAAGTCAGGTGGTCGGTCCAATCTGTTTCGATGACCACGCGTGGTTGCGGTTGTGCCTGGTCCGTTATGGTAACGGGTTGCTGGATGATTGCTGCCCCTCGGTACCAGAATACTGTCCCTAGATCGTGCGGACCCTGGCATATGACACAGGCGAGGGTAACCGAACTTCCTGTCTTGACGTAGAGGTCAGCTGGTCCCATGATCCTTGCCTTCGACTCTGTAAGAACAGAAATACATGTTTGACGTCATTCCACTTTCCCGTTGTAAAGCACAATTATTTTATTATACAAAAAAATTGTTACAGAAAAGACTGAATGCGCTTTACGTTTGATTCTGTACTGTATGAAGCTTTTATGGAAACTGAAAGAGAGAAATTCATCTACGCTGATGAACATCGTCAGTTCGAGTTCTTGTGAATACGATACTAATCTGCCGATATCTAAAGAAAATCTGGGAATTTCTTGACTGTTAGCATTTCAAGAACGACTATACTCCGTAAAGTTAATAAAATATAATAGGTCGTTACTATAAAAAAGTTTTAATACACTGGTAACTGTTCAGTGACCTATAAACAAATACTCTTGGTAATTTTCAATGTGAAATGTCACAATTACTGGGTTCTGGAAACCAATGGTGGCATTTCGCATTAGCAAAGTAGTCTCGTAATAAAACTTGGCATCGGATACAGCTTTTTACAAAATGATAACAACTGGAAGAGCAGTTTCTGATAATATCATGCTTTAAAATAAATTATCACAAAAATTACTCTTTCCGAGTTATGTTTTGTTGTTACTCGGGTAATTTCGATACAGGAAATCACTCAAACAACTGGCAGCTATTCAGGGAGGCGGATAATAGAATCAGGAACTTCTTTACCTTCGGAAAGAAACACATAATTGGATCCTATTTTGAGCCAGAGCTACCTCATATCTACACGAATAATTTAAGATTCATTTTAATATCATCCTCACATCTTCGATTACGTCTCGAAACAGGTTAGTGATACTTAAGTTTACCATCGTCCTTCCATAACAACGTACTGTACTTTTATTTACAAATATTTAATGTTGTCCTTTGTTTTATACATGCTTGTAAATATTTCTCGTTCAAAGAGAAAAAAAACATATATTTTAGATATCCACTACAAACAGGCTCATGAGGAAAATACATGGCCCTAACGGAGTTGGAGCAAATCACACAAATGCAATCTTGATCATGCGATAATTACCAATTTTCCAAGGAAGCTCCATTACTAATTAACTTGGATCACGTATGAAACCAATTTAAGTTCCGACAAGAGAACATGAGTATATTTTTCTCGATTTTTCCCTAAATTTCCGACAGCATGAAAACAGATCATAACAGCCTTCTTTCAACGTCGTCCGAAGCTAAATAACCTTGTCCCTCGTGAGTAGAGATGTGTCCACGATCGAAACGAGTTCCTCTATCGAACAACTTGATTCAGATCGACGGTCAGGAAGCTGGAGGCTAATAACGTCTGAAGCATCGGCCAATTTATACCAGACTACACCCAGAATACATTCATCTTCATACCCACCGCCTTGAGAACCAGAAAACTCACCAAGCATCAACAAGTCTATGCCAGACATTTAATGTGTAACCGTACAAATCACAAGAGATTATAAATAAGTGTCACTCCGTCAAGGATCTACTCGGATAAGGCACGAATGTATATCGACACTACACGCCCAAACTGTGAATGATGTTGCAACTTTCTGGCAAAATTCCATCAAAAAATTTAAAAAAATGATCATATATTCTCTGGCATATCATTCTATGTCATAATCATAGATGAAATTGTCATCATCAGCAGTACGCATATCACATCCTTGTTGATATTAACTGTAACGTGTTGGGATGTCTGATGGATTTACTGCTGCAAAACACTGTAATCGCAATTCACTCCAGGTAGACATCACGGGTTCCCATGTTAAACTATATTTACAACCTAATTCCCTTATCATAAGGTCTTCTTTACATAGTAAACGCTTGATAGGCTTACATTTCTTTCTTACACCTTCATTTGTTTTACGATAGGCAATGTATTATCTAAAAATCTGGAACAAGGCAGCAATATTATGCGACACGTAAATAGACTGAATGTTTGTTTCCGAAATTTTGATTTTGCCCATCTGTTGTCAGCGTCAGTCCATTCGAATATTTTCTTAAAACGTACACAACTCAGAGGAAACACACAGGGATTCACCAGGCTGCGCTGGAAACATTTAAAAACTTTTTTTGACAATAATTTCGGCATTTTAACGTTTAACCGACTTAACTAAATTAAAAGCGTTTTAATATATCATACTTTCTCGACATCGAGGAGAAGGTCATTAGTGTAATGATATAGAAGCAGGGGATAGAATCTGAAGATGGCCACATTAGTTCGAAACATGTTGTTCAAGTAAACAGACAGTGAACATGTATGATTTGAGGTTTTCACAGCGGTGAGTCTGAAGATTTCTGTCTTCTGGGTTGTTGCGTTGTGTAGTCTGGTAGATGTTTACCAAAGTTTCAGAGGTCATACTGCCTCGACGGAGGCAACAATCCAGAAGACAGAAATCTTCTGATAGTGAACAGATTGTGTGAAAAGTGACGTGCAGAAAAATCAAGAATACAACATAACACACAGGGATTCCACATTACAAGTTGGTATATATACTTACACTATTTATATTGAATTCTTACGAATTGAAGATTTGGAAAAACCTGCGCTTATGCATTTCTGTCCATTTTTTCAACCGCAGTGTTGTTTTATGTACCCGAGGAATTTGATTTAATTTGGCGTTCGCACCACGAGATAAAAATTTCCTGATGACTGGGTTCTAATGGCATCTTTGGAACTTCCGATTGGCTCGTCATTAAGAGATAACGTTTTGATGCATTCGCCAACCAAAAGTTAAAATAAACACCTATCAGCTTCACTCGGTCTGTCTGTTAGCATGTAACAAATCGAAAACCGCTTAACTGATTTTTATTAGACTAGGCACTGGGTAGTTTATATTATACACTTTTGGCTGAAATCGGACAACAATAACAAAAAATTGTCAGCTGTCACTCACAAAGGGAAACTGTCAAATTATGGCGACCGCACGAAAATTCTCAAAGTGTTATTTCCCAAATCGCTATGTTTTATGTCCAATTTATTTCTTAAAATGTATTCAGTTCTAAAAAAGAACAGGATACTTTACTAAAATAAAAAGATGTTGAATGTTTTCCATCGTCTAATAAAATAATAAAATTGAACGACGTTTCGGAGATGGGACGATGGGACTCTATCTCCGTCTTCAGGTATACCATGCAAAAAACTTTTTGTTTTAAAAACGCACCATCGTCACAAACTTTTAGATTTGATGATACTTTACTCTTTGAAGCCGAAGCTCGGGAAATAATATTTAAGAATTCAGTCCGTACCACAAAGAAAACACAACAGTTCACCATTACAAAGATCAAATGCTTAATGCTATTTAATAAAATAATCGCTGTGAGAATCATACGAAGCACATAAATACAAAAAAAATATTGTTCAAGTAGTTGGTACATATAGTCACCACTGGTTTTTAAAAGTTAAAAAGATGATTTACATATATTTTTAGCTCAGGGTTACATCCATTCTGCTGGCTCACGCCTACATATTTGTGACTTCTGTGTCACAGATCTAACATAATACATCGCCCGATGAATCCTCAAGCGGTGCATTACTGAATCACAACTAGTTCAACTTTTTATAGGAAGGTCGAAACTTAGATTACAGGCTCTGTGTCTACTACTATGTTTTATTTATGTCTACTGAGCATTAAACCAAGAGAGATGTCTTACAAACACCGCTTCTCAAGAGACAGTAATAAAATGCTTTATTTCTGCACATCAAAATCGTAATTTATTAGTAAAGTTTTGTGTGTATGAACAGATAACTGAAGATATCCCTCTCTCTATCCGGTTGGAATATTTTCCTTATCAGAAAACATTACCTTATGGCATGATAATGTCCCCAACTTCTAAAACAGTGGACGGATTTTTATAAAACATGGCAACAACTTTATGATATTAGAGTTTACCATGAATGTACTGAAGAATACGCCAATGAAACTCTGATATCCGCTCCGGGGTTCAAACCAGATAAAAATATTTGTAAAACCACTACAACGCGATATTTACTGCCAGCAGAAAACTGGTGTTATTCTGTAAAGTCGCGTAAGCAATACGAAATTACCTCTAACTCTATGGACCAAATTTTTACTTGAGAAGCAAACAACGCTCAACGAATCGATAACTTCCACTCCTTTTATGGAACCAGAAGGTTCATTACCGTGTAAACAAGAGCCTGCCTCCAGCTCCTATTCTAAGACAGATAAATGAAATCCACACACCCCAACTATACTTCCCTAAGATTCATTTTAATATTATCTTCCTATCTAAGCCTAGGTCTTCCGAATGGTCTCTCTTGAGGTTTTGCAAACAAACTTACGAAATTAACTCCAATTAACGTAAAAACTCTCAATACGAAAATGTAAATCAACATTTTAATGAATAATAGGTGAAATTCCATATTTTCACGGCGTCGAGTATGAAGATGACTGTCCTCTGGGGTGTTGCGCAGTTTGGTAGAAATCGACCTGAAGTTTCAGGGGTACTTACTGTCTCCATCGCCTTGAATATGGAGGCAATAAGCTACAAGCGTCACACGTGACATCAAGCTATTCACTGTGTTGAAACAATGGGGGTTCAGCTTCAACGCAGCGGGTCTAAAACAGACCGCGTTTCGAAAATGCATTATAAAACAGAGTGTACATTGTGACGTCATGCTGTAAGAGTACTAAACTTCAAAATGGAGACGTCAATAATCTTATAACAATTCTAATAAAAGAACGATAAAATGGATACAACGTTTATGGACTTTTTGAGGACTCTAAATCTCATTTTATAAGTCGAAAAATTTTGACAATTTAAAAGATCCGATAAAAAAAGTATTAGGATATTACCAAGTTTACAACAGAGAACGCTAATTTCGGATGTAAATAGTTTACTGCATATTACTTTTTAAGGCTTTAATACATAAAATTAAACAACAGTGTCTTAGCGCATAAAACCAAAAATAATTATTTCGACAGAGAAGAATCCGTCTTGAGAAGCTAGTAGTTATTGATACTGCGTATTTTATGGACCCTAAAGTAGTGTTGACGAACTGCTACATGT